TTTTTTTACAGATATTTCTTCATCCTTTCCCTGGCTAACTTTTTTTTAGGAAAGTTTCCAGGGAATGTTCATTTCCTTTGTTCCAGTAGGTAGGACTGCTCCTCAGGGTAAGGGCTTGGAGCCTTCAACCTCACAGCCCTCTCTGGTGTCTACTTATCAGCGAGTCATCTGAAACTAATAGCCTGGCATGAAGAAACCAGTAATAAGACAAACTGCTTGAGGGTTTGAAAAGACTCAGCCAGTAGTTAACAGTAAAACCTGCTCTTCTTTTTAATGGGACTGGGCTGGGATTATCTGTTAAGCTCCCATTTGTACTATCCAGGCAAAGCTTAACACAAACCACACCACTCCCCAAAATTGATATTAACCAGGCATTTGCTGTGTTGCATTGGAAAAGTGAACACAGGTATAAATATCACACGTCCTGGCCTTTAGAAATTACGTGAGACATCTGGATAAGTTTGCCTGACTAATGCCAAAACCACTTCCCTGCCCTCAGCAGAGCATTGAGGTAGCACGGGCCTGGTGCTCCTCATCAGCATTGCTGCTAATTAGAAGTGTCCTTCTGTCCGTGGGGAATAAAAGGGAAAACAACAAAATGTTTTCTTCCAGATTGTGTGCGGAAAAAAACACCAAAAAAACCCCAAGAACAAAACCAAACCAACCAACCAACCAACCAAATAAAGATAAGGAAAAACAAAGAAAAGGTTCATCTATTTGGTTTAGACCTTTGAGATTATCACTGTTACCCCAGCATTGCCAGTGTCCCCAGGTGCCACATCTACATGTCTTTTAAATCCCTCCAGGTGTGCTATAGACATGTCTATATGATGTAGAAATGTGCAGAGCCATCCCTTACTCCCAGAGCTTCCTTTGGGGTGAAACATTTACAATGTGCTTCTTGTTTGAGCTGACTGTTTCCATCATTCTGAGAGGGTTTTGTAAGGCAGCTGCAGAAATCCTGCACGAGATGATGGGGTTCCTGCTGCTGTTGCAGCTCCAAGGCCGTTCTCCCTCCCAGTTCTGTCGTGCCCATGGTAACACACCATAAAACACCATCCCATAAAAACAAGCTGACTGCCAGTGCTGCCCGACAGATACAAGGAATCACAAAAGGTAATAAAAAATGATTCACATTCACCCTCTCCTTCCTTTAAAAGAAAAGCTGGTTAAAAGAAAAAAAAAAAAGGGCCAAATTGAAAATGAGCATCAGCAGCTCCCACCAGGGTGAAGCTGGTACTGTCACGTTTAGGAGGGACAGGGCTCTGTTTCATTTCTAGGTGAAATCAGGGCATGAGGCTTCACAGGGAGCAATCCCTCCACCAGCAGCTCCAGCCAGGCAGAGCAAACATTTGTCAGTCTGGAGGAAGGGGCTGCACCAGGGACTGGGGGTAAAAATGCTTTCCAGCTTCTGAAGCTTTGGGTGGGTTTGGGTTGGCCTAATCCAGCTGTGTTAGGCAGGTACAACAACGGGCAGGTTGATTTTCTTGTGCTCTGGGGACATGCACGGCACGTTAACCAGATCTGTTGACAAATAGAACAGCTAAAGAGGAACGTGGTGAAAGGCTGGGACCATCTAAGATGGCATGTGCTACACTTGGTTTACAGCACTCATCCTGAAACTGCCTAAAAATGTTTTCAGGAGAGTTAGCAGGGAAAATTTTTCTTTGTGGACTATGTCAAAATATAAGTTAGAAGTATAAAACAACAACCTCTTTCAAATGATGGAATGCACTCTATGAGTTCTCACTCTGCTATTCAGAGCTCACTCACAAAATAAAGTGAATATTTTCCAAGCACTTTATGACACGAATTTTCACCAAAAAAAAAAGTCAGATGATGAATTACATGGTTTTGTGTATCTGTGTGATAAACCATCTGTAAAAGGAATGCTATGTGAATATTAATAAATATGCAGTGAGCTAGGATTGTATTTCAGACTATATTGATCATATTAATGAGAATGGTAATGTGTGTATGTTTATTATGATTAACAGAACTGCATTCATGTTGCATTTTCCATTTGAATGAAATCAACTTTCTCCTGAAATTACTGAAGATGGACATTAAATACAGAGAAATGATCAGTGAATAAGCTCCTGTAAAACCCTTTTCACTTCTATGTCAAATCTGATATGCTTACTATAAATTAATCTTGAAAATTAAATATTATTGACAGTTGTGGACATAAATACTCAAAGGGGGGAGAACCCGATCTTTGCAACAACAAGTACAACCAAGCAACTTCCCCTGAGCACAAGATTAAATAATGCTCATGAATTTCAATAACAGCACACGTGAGTTTGAAGGTAGAACACGAGAGCAGCTTTGCTGGAGACTGAGCCCACAAAGATACTCTGGTTTTCTAGTTAATGAGAAAATAAGTTTGGCTGCCCTAAAGACATACCTTAACAAAATAATTAACTGTAAATGAGCTGCTGTATCACTATCAGAATAGAGAGAGTCCAGCTATAACTTCAGGGCATATGCAGAGGAAAAAAAAATAGCTGAAATAGTGAGACAAATTCTGTTCACATCAGAATTTAAACACAGGTGGTTTGAATTTGTTTTGGTCTTTTTTGTTGTTTTTTTTTTTTTTTTTTTTTTTTTTTTTTTTTTTTTTTTTTTTTTTTTTTTTTTTTTTTTTTTTTTTTTTTTTTTTTTTTTTTTTCCTCTATCTCTTACATTTCTTCTCTGGGAGCAATTCAAATAATTGTATTTCTTAATTGCCTTGAGACTTGCTTCTGTAAACAGGAGAAACTGTGTAAAAAAGGAACCAGCTTCCTTCTGAAATGTTGAGTGAAGATAATGTTCCTGGTCTAGTTGGAGATGTCCCTGCTCATTGCAGGGGGTTGGGCTGAACAACCTTCAAAGGTCCCTTCCAACCCAAACCACTTGAAGATTTTCTCCAAACAAAATGAAGGTTTTCCCTGACTAGAGCTTGTAGTTCTGTAGAGAGGTAGAAGAAAGATGAATTGACAAGGTAGATGCACGAGATAGAAGTTTTCCCTGAAGATTCATGATCCAAACACTGTCAGGACACACCTCCAGGCCCCAATGACAGCACAGAGAGGGCAAAACTGGAATGTAGTGAAGCAGAGATGGCTGAGGAGTACCAGAAATGAAAAGAAGGAGGTTTGCATGGAAATTGAACTTATTTTTGTCAGCAGAAACAAGTTCCTGTAATCTATCAGCAAAGGCTGTCCATCCAAACACAGATGGACAGAAGTTTGTGCAGTGTATTGGATTCCTGTCTGCTCACTAAGGGTATTCTCACCACACTTTCCCTTTTCTGTATGAATATTATTATACTTAGAATTTGGTGCAAAGAACAGGGAATTTTATAGCCTATTCTGGGCACTGCAATTCTCATCATGAAGTTATTAGCAAGAAGGAATGAAAGCAATTGTCAGGGAACAATGAGGTTATAATCATAACTTGTTCTTCCCCATTCAAAATTATGCTCCTGTGATCTCCATTTTGCTCTAACTGGGAGCTGCTTTTTAACTTGGGAAATTTTCAATAATGAAGCGGAGAAGGAAATTGCTGGACATTTCTTTGAGCCATAAACTTCCTAGAAATGCAGTGGGAATGTCATAATCAGCAGGCTCATGGATTTCAAAGTGCTGTGTTCACCTGACAGTTCTTTCAATCATTTTTTTTTTTTTTTAGTAAAATACATCTGTAGCCATTGAGCCATTGTGTAATCCCCCCACACACCTGGAAATTATAATGTGGGATGTCATGATTTATTTCATAGCATAAAAGCTCTTAAATGAATACTGACAGCACCATTAGTGTTCTGATCTTGAACTGAAGTGCAAGTCAGCTCTGCTTAAGTCATCATTCTCATGATCCACAAATAAATGTGCAGTTTAAAAAGGTGCTGGGGGTTAATCAGAGCTGAATCAGTCACGAAAAATTCATAAAGAAGGGAGCAGTTGAGGAAATGACATGCTGAAGCTCTTCCCTCAACACAGTTTCTCTAAGCAGCCCGTGCCAAAGACCCCAGAACACCAAAACCTGGTGTGAAAGCTTGGTTAATTCTGAATTAACTGGGAGATGTTGATGCTACTTCAGCAGCTGCATCTTGTGCTTTGGCTGCTCCCACCTACACCTGGTACCTCCTTCCCACTCTTGGCAAGCAGAACCCAAATGGGCTCCACACAGCCTGGACTCCTCTGTTATCTCCTTCTTTTTCTGAAAATCATGTTCTGTCTCATTTGTTCCTTAATGCAAAACTCTTGTTGTTCTACATATTTAAACATTTTTTTTTTTCCCCTCATTTGGTACTGTCCTTTTTGGAGGTGAAAAACCGGATGCCTGTCCCTAGAACTTTATGAATTCTGTTGGTTTATAAATATTTATCACAACTATTTTAACAGCAACAGCTGTGATCCTTTAACATGCAGAGGTTGTGTTATAAAGGGTCAAGCACTCTGTACCTCTTCCCAGTTTCCAGAAGATTTCAAATTGTTCCCGTTTGACATTCTACTAATGGGGCTCAACATAATTCAAGGAGGAACAGTTCTGCCTAATGAGGGATAATTGTTTTCTCATTCAAGTTTGGACATTATTTGTGGCTTTACTTGCATGTTTATCCCAGTTCTTTAGTCCAATCTATTTAAAGGGATCAGCAACCTTCAAGTTAAATCATAAACCACTCAACCTTCCAGACTTGTGGCTTGGTTTGTTCTTGAGTATTCCACAATAATTTATATCTCCAGTGAGAATCTCCAAATTCAAGTAGTTTGCATGTGGTCATTCATCAACTTTTCCCCTTAGATGAACCCAGAACACCTAAAAAGGGGACTATAAATACATATATAAATCACATTTACCTTCTTTCCCCCCCCTTCCGTTGCTTACAAAAGGATTTATCAGTAAATCCAAACTAACTCATTCAAACTGAAATAACTGTTAAGTAAAACCAAATAATGCTGTATTGGTATGCTGAAGTGATTTCTCATTCCAAATGAAGTGTTTCTTTCCTCATTTAGAGCTCCTAACGGGACCCTGATTAACGGAGTAAGGTGGCCAACCTTCACCAGTACTGAGCAGAAATATTTGACACTAAACACCAGCACTCCAGAGATCCTGACGAAACTCCGGGCTCAGCAGTGTCGATTCTGGAAATATTTTTTCCCCAAAGTCGTGGAAATGACAGGTAGGACGAAAACTGGGGACAAACCAAGGCCTAGGACTTTGTGATGTGGAGTTTCTCTGTCCCAAAACGCAGATGCAGCCACAATGGGAGGCATTAAAAGCGCTGCAAATCCCTGTTCTCAAGGTACCCCCCTGCAAGAGTCTTGGTGCTGCCAGGCTCTGGAAAGCAGGAAAAACAGTGCTAAAGGAGGGACTTCTGGAAGCTTTAGATGTTCTGTGTAAACTTCGTGTGTCTGAGGCTGGTAGATTATATTATCTATTATTTATGGGATTCTATTATTATGCAGCTAATCCACAGAGGATATTAAGTGTGTGGCTGCTGCCAGGAGGGGATTCTGGTTTCTGTCTCACGTGAGAGCCTTGTGTTTTATTTCTGGAGGGTCAGCCACTGATGACAAACAGACACTGCAAGATCTGCCTGAACTGAACAACTAATTTGTGCCTATATAAAACAGGGGTTTGAGATTTCACTACCTAGAAGAGTATAAGGGGCTGTTTGAAATTCTAAGTCCAGTTGAACAGGTGGAACTCAAATTTTTAGAGGACCGACCCCATCATTTTCACAAAGCCCAGCACACAGACCAAGCCTCTGGGTTTTGGATTTCAAAAGGAATTGATTTTATATAGTGATTTTGCAGCTCTGGAACCACATCCTGCAGTTCGACTGGGGGAAAGTCTGGTTTCGAAAATGAGATACATGTTTAAAATGTTAATTAGTAATTTAAAATCTTCCTGTAAGGCTCGGTTTGAATGCTGGTCTTAAAAATATGTTAAGTCTTAAAAATATGTAAACTGTCACGGTGCACAGATGATTCCTTCTGAAATAATTTATTCCTTCCTCATTTGAGTCTATGACTGTATTATGGCTCAACTTTTATCCCCTCTCAATTCAACAGATGTTTTTCAATTAAATCAGGAGAAGCAAAATCAGCAGGTAAAATGAATAATTTATGAGCCTCACTCTGTGATTTTTAAAATCACGGCGTTCCAAATTACAGATGGATTTTGGGGAGGTTTCAAAGACTCTGACAAGCCATTTGTGCTGAGCCAGGAGAACTGAACTGTTTTCCGTGGTTTTTTTTTTGAACCCGGCTGGGAATCCCTGTGGAAAAATGTGTATCCAACAAATGGGCTGAGCACAACCAAGTGCTCTGGGCTGGAGCAGGAGGGAAGACATCCCCCAGAAACTCATCACTTTGCCATAATCAGTGATTTACAATATAAATTTAATGACAAGAAATCCATGAGAATATTCTTGGGAAAAATGAAAAGCATCATCGTGTCTGGATCCTCATAGAGAGCTGAGGCGAGAATGCTGTTGAGGTAGCACTGTTTTGTCGTGTGTCTGCATCTGTCAGTCCTTGAAATATTGTAAATGTAAAAACATAGTATTTCCATTATGATCCCTATACAGTGTTACAGCACTCTGACAAAGAAAAAAAATCCCTATAAAGTTCTGCTAAAAATCATGATATAATACTTTATATTGCAATAATTCTCTTCACTGAAGTATTATTTTGCATTTCCCCTCTCCTCTTATGCCCAAAGGACAGCGAATGCCATAAATATATGTATTTTCTCATTTTCTGAGGGTGTCTCTTTTCTATTACTCCTTCCATTGCAATATTCTTAGGGAAAGGTTGCTGTAACACGGGGTGATGTGAGACAACAGAGAAGGAGAAGTAAGGAGATTTTATGTTATCATTATTACAGGTTCAAGTAGGGTTCAGGTAGGTACAATTCTATCAGGTAGAACCCAAAGCAACTTATTTTACAGAAATTGCCATGATTTCTCAGTGTCAAGCAACCAGGATGTGCTTGGGAACCACTCGTTTAGTTCCTGACCCATGCAAGCACAAGCCTTGCCACCCCTTGAGGTCTTTTCAGCTTTTCATGACCAGCTCCAAACATGTCCTGCACCTGAACAAGCTTGTTCCCATCGCAGGCTGGGCAAGACAAGTTCCTTGAGGCAGTTAAAGTATATGAGAGAGGAAAATATTTAGCCCCTGCCATCTTTAGTTTTATATAATTAACTTTTTCCTCAAGCAACTAAATCAGATACATAAAAAAAAAAAAAAATTACGGTTATGGGTTAGAAAAATTAATAAGGAACGATTTAAGCCTCACACAGTAACACCAGAGTAACAGCCACATGTAAAAGATGGCCTTGATGTCTCTAGAGTTCTTTGTGTGGTTTTGGAAGATTTCTCAATGCCTTCTCCTCGAGTTTCAATACATAAATCTATAATTGGGTCAGAGCCCTTCTTTGTGTGCCCGACTTGGTAACAATCACTAGACAAGTAAAGTGGCCCTAAAGCTCCCTCCCATGAGCTCCAAATTCCAAGTAGACACGATTTCTGCAGGGTATTTTAACCCCATCTGGAAGGCACTGGGCACACCCTCCATCCCCTCACCCCCAGACGAGCAGGGAGCACTCAGATTTAATATTCCATTTGAGGGTGTGAGCACTGGGACAAGCCCCAGGAGTTTTGCTGGTGACTGCTTCTGCAAGAGACACACTGGAGGGACAGTAAACACTAAGTGACTTTTAAGTAGCTTTTAGAGCAATCATATGTTAATTATAAAAGCATCTATGTTAGTCTCTACCTCCTCAACACAATCTTTAATGCATCTAGAGCCCTAACTATTTATATATGCCAGCTTCCTCTTGATTATAGAAAGCTGCAGGCAGCCAAGCTTTCCATTACTGGTCCATTACTATTTTAGTGTGCCTAATACATATTTTTTCTATTTTTTTTAATATATTACTGCATCATGTATCATCTAAAGAGAAATCAAAATAGGTAACATAAATACATTAAGTTTTAAAACCACCCTAAAAAGATTTTGGATGTGGAGGCAGAGAAAAGTTCAACCTCTTGGCCAATGAGTAACAAAAATAATTGTGTTTGCTGTGATCCTCCCAGCAGTGTCTGGGTTCTGCAGAGCTAAATACTCAGGGGAGTCAGGATATTAGAAATTTGACTAAACAGAACATTCGTCATCAGAATTAGTTTTAAATTTCCACCGAAATGTGAACTAGTCAAAAGTCACCTCACCAGAACTACAGCACCTACTGACAGAGCAAAATTTACTCTTTGCACCTCTGAGCAATCGGATTTCTTTCTAACTCCAGGACCTTCCATCCCATGGCATTGGAAAGACAACAGCCTTTACAGTAATTCCTCTCCCAGAGAACTCTACTGAAGAAATCTGAAGTTCTTAAACATACATGTGAAAATCAATATATGGTTGAGGCTAACAAAATTTTGATGTTCAGAGAGTGTGATTTAAAGAATCTCAGGGGACTGGAAGGGGCCTCTGGAGATCCTCCAGTCCTAAGGCAGGATCACCTGGAGCAGGTGACACAAAAACACTGAATAGAGATACTGAAATATAGATCCCATTTGTTTTCTGCTTCCTGGACCTTTGTGAAACCCTCACCATGAGAATCTACAGCACAAACCTGTGGCATTTTATCACACTAATGAATCAAGAAGTTTTAAAGTGCCTTTAATTATGAGCTGTTGAGGACGCAGAAATTAATCCTAACTTGTCATTCCTTATTAATTCTACTGTATCATAACAGCTACACAGCCTTTGTCCCAGTCTTAATGTTAATGCACAAAAATACGTTGAAGATTAGCACTTTACTGGCCCATCCAGAGGATGGTGTGGTTATGAATTTCCCGTTGCTGCAGTGCCATTAAAGGGCTGTGTGGAAGGACAGCAAATGCCACTGCTGAGGGATCAAAAAACCCTCAGACTGGGACCTGCCCTGATTCACTGCCTGGAGAATCTCCCCTTTCCCCCCTGTCAGCTTCACCAGGCTTTGCTTTGGGCTGATGGGAATTACTCCAAGGTTTGTGTTGCCTGAGTGACTGCAGGGAGCAGAATCCCCTCTGTGGGTTGTTGGTGGCTCCCCTGGCAGGGCAGGAGGGAGCAGCCACCCAGAGCTCCCAGCTGTAATTATCGGTCAGCTCCAGTTCTCTCTCATCTTTCCCTTCTCTGCCTCCCAGCTGTCAGCTCGTCTAAGTCATGGGTGGTTGCCTCAAAGAGATTGATGATGTTGGTGATAATGGGATGCATTGACTTGTGACTTCAATTTGGATCTTATCACTGGGATAAAAAAAAAAAAGCAAAAAAAAAAAAAAAGCAAACAAATTGGAATCCAAGTTCTTATTTCAGTGTTTTCCTTCCCCCTTTTGTCTTTTAGATTCATAATGGTGGCTACTCTGAATTTTCTGGTGCCTGCTTTCTCTGGCTGACTCACTTCTTCACCATAATCTTTAAGAAGCACTGAAATGCCCCATAATTTATACCCTACAACAGTGACTTTTAATTCAAGATGTGTCTATGGTAGAGATATTCCAGTTTCTAAAGTCTTTGGGCAGACTTCAAACACATCTACACTTGAATAATTAAAGAAGGAACTGGTCTTTTTTTTAATTCATAAGTGGAGGCTTTGCCTGGATAAGTAAAACTGGATACCTAAAATCAAGAACAAGATAAGAAACATGGCTTAAGTATTTTTCTCCAAATAATATTAACACTCTTCATACACTAAATTACCAACCCATTTGACTGAACATGGAAAATTTGGCTTTACCTGAGACCCTGCCTACACCTTTAAATTAAGAAATGTGCAAAGGGGAGTTCTCAGAGCCAGGAAAGCAAAATGTTGTGCGTGTCTTCTCCCCATAGTTCTGAGTCATGGCTTTGAAATCAAAATGAAGTTTTATTGTTACCAGCACTTACAAATCCTCTCTGAGTTAGGGGCAATTGTAGCTTGCAGAAGAAAAAAAAATAAAAAATATGTGAACTTTTCTTTGATCTCTGATATAACCAAGCTTATTTACAACTTTGAACTGAGGGAAAAGAGAGTGGTTAATTTTTCAACTATTTTTTTTTCCCATATTTGTTTTCTACACTTTCCCTTTTGAACCACATGAAGTTCAAAGCACAGAACTTTCCAAGAAACAAGTTGGTTTTATTTCTGGTCTCACTAAAACCAAGAAGCAATGTAAATCTCATTTCAAACTCTCATTAAATTGCCATCTGGATTTCCAGACCAAAAAGGTTTGGAAATGTTGAGCTAAACTGCAGATAAGCAACCAAATTACTGGATGCTTCTCCAGACTAAATCTCTGATTCAGTTAACTCTCTTTCCCGAATATTTTCTCTACTGATGTGTAAAACACAAAAGTATTTCATTTTCACATCAGCAGCTACAGTTGCAGTGCTGGCAGCTCATAAAAAAGGGGGAAGGGGGTGTATTTATGGAGGGAAAGGGCTGATGCTCCACTGCAGCAGAAGAACATAAAGTCAGAGGAGCATAAAGAAACCATGGAACTGTTCTCTCCTGAACACAATAACCAAGTTTTTTTGGAAACCAGCCTATGGCAACAGGGACGCCCAGATAGTCAGGGCCAGAATGAATAAAGCATTCCGAGGTCATCAGTGCTTTATAAACTTTTTCTTCAAGCCTACAACTGCTACAAACTAATGAACCACAGGGTGTGGCACAGCCTGCCTGTCTCACCTTTAATGTCATTGTTGGATGGGCTGTTCCTGCAAGGTCACTGCATTTCCCTGGAGGGTTAAGTACTTTTTGGGGGCTGGAGGGAGCAATCCCTGTCTATAAAATACTCAGGGAACCTTGGGAAAGGTTGTACTTTTATTACTCTTCTCATCCTCACCCTCTGCTCTGACGCTCACAACAATTCCGGCAATAAATGTAGCCTTGGGGCACGGGATTAATCAGCAAATGCTTTACAGGTTAGAAAGAGAAGGTGGTTTCATGTTGACATAGTTCACATTTCACAGTTCCTGCTCCAAACCTGCACCCTTTTTGCTTTTAACTTGGGGGTTTATTCCAGGGTAGGGTGAAATCCTGGCCATCCATTGAAATCCATCCAAACTAATAGCAATCCTGTTGTTGCCTGGAATAAAGCTGTGATTTCATCCTATCTTTACAAGCATCTATCTCATTTTACATATTGTAGTCTTCAGGGTATGGAGTTTTCACTGCAGATATGTTGAACCGAAGGAATGTTTTGAGGACGGAAAAAATAAAAAAAGTGGCTTTAAAATGATGAATCTGATGGACAGAAGTATTATCCAAAAGCCACAAGCCCATAAATAAGTATATTTATTGCCCTGCAATGTGCCAGAGTGATATCTTTGCAGTCCTTCCTTCCTGATGTAAAGACAAAGCATCAATCACTGAATTTTCAGTCATTCCAGGTTTAAGAAAAGAAGCAAAGGACCAGCCTACAACGTATTTGGAGCAGATGACATTGATAATCAAAATTATTTTTCAATTAGCATACAAAGAGATTCAAATTTAGATTAATGTAACCCATTTCATGTTTTACAGGAAATATTGATGAAGCAGAACGAGAGTGGAAAGCAGGATTCCATCGCTGGAACAATTACATGTCAGACTGGAAAAATCAATTTAATGATTACACCAGCAAGAAGGAGCTGTGCAAGCTCTAATTAATATGTTTACCCTTTCCAGTGTGTCCATAGAACTCTTCATCAGGCAAATATCCAGGTAGCATTCTAACATCTCTGGCATTAAATGTGTTCTGCAGATTAAAAAAAAAAACAAAACAAAACAACAATGTTACAGATATAATTTTGATTCCTCAGATCTTTCATTTAGATTTTGCCTCCTATCTCAATAAACAGTGTATGGCATCTGTACCCTTTGAAGCTTCACTGGGTTAAATAGGACTGTAAAGTCTGAAGATTAATGGTGTACATGTTATTATAAATATTAGCTGCTTAAATTCACACTTCAAAGAGACAATGTAACCTCTTGGAGGAAAATGGATATTTATTTTTTTTTAATAGGAATAGCAGTGATTTACAGTGTTATCATGCAAAACACAGTTGGGTTTGATCTTTAACTGCAACACCACCACACTTAAACCTTGGTTCAGACATAACTGAGTTGACATAAACATAAATGTACAACAGCTTTGCTGGACAAACAAAATGATATTTGTTTGTTGGACAAAAAAAAGTTTTAGGGCTGCCATTAAAGTGGGAATCACTTTCTAAATGGCTAAATTTGTAGGACAAAGCCACGTTAGGAGAGGATTCAAGCTGTGTGTTGAAAGCCTAAACCATCAGCACTCTGAGTGCAAGTGTTGGGGTGAAACAAGGCAGAAAACCCCACACCTCTGCTTCCTCCATCCTCACCTTTCAAGGAGTGAGGAACTACAGACTCACAAGGAATGAACTCACAGCTTTCCCCTCCTCAGTCACCCACTGTCTTCACCTGGTAGAAGTCTCTGCTGTGGAGATAAGCTCCGATTATGACATTTTTTTGTCCACTGAGTTGCCTCTTAGTCAGGGGGCAGCCCCATAGAACATGACAGATGAGTCTTTGCACCTGCAGAACAGAGAATCACAGAACAGGCTGAGTTGGAAGCGACCCACAAGAACCCACAAGGATCGAGTCCATCCCCTGGCCCTGCACAGCAACATCCACACAGATCACACAAAGAAAATTGGCCAAATATTTCACCAAATGGTTCATCAAGAACCAACCAGGAGGGGGAACCTTGCCAAAAACTCCTCTTGGAGAGGGTTGGGAAGGGCATCACTGCAGAGAAGTGTTGTGCCCCTGGTGGGAAGGACCCAGCTCTTTGACATACTCCAGTGAGCTCTACCTGCCATCTCCCAGACCCCTTTCTACCCACCTGAGCTGAACCTCTTAGAAGCTTCTAAAAAAAAAACACAACAAAAAACCCTTGGATAATTCCCTTTCCTGCTCCTCTGCTTCTGTGATGATGGGGCTGGAATTTTTATGCCTGAATAACACCTTAATTGGCTGCTTTTCGCTGGCCCAACTGGGAAGAATAAATGCCAAAAATTTGATGAACGTAAGTAGTATGTAAAAGCAACAAGGCATCTCATAAATAAATTATCCTGGAGCTCTCTGTAAATGCAATAACATCTCAGTGCATCTATTTTCTGTTCTGGTGATTGCAAGCTCTTGCAAAATGCCTCTTTGGATTGAGTAGAGTGAAGAGATCCAGATAATGAACAGAGAGTGTTCTCTTTCTGGCAATCAGTTTGACCACACAGGATCCCTGCTCTGAGAGGATTTATTTATACAGAAAGGCCAAGTTCTGCAAGAGATGATGGCTTATCATCTGTTCAGTTATTTCCAAGAGAACACAATTATTTCCTGGCTACATTATGGGAAGCCACCTTTTAGCACAGTATTTCAAAGGCTGCAGTCAAAGCTTCACAATGAAAAAAAAATCTGACTTTTGAACAAGCTGATCAAAACTTAAAATTACCTGGGATTAAACAGTGCTTTTAATGCAGCACTACATGTTTATAGCAGAGATAAGAAGCTCATTACATATATTAGCATAGTTTCTGCTATTAATAATGGCATGGAGAGCTGTGTTAGTCTACAGTGCATTGGGTATTTATTGAATATTCTTCGTGCTAGTGACGAGCTGCTGAAAATAAACACAGGAGGATGAACTTTCTGCCCATCACTGAGCAGTTCTGGCACTGCCCATTTTATTTCTGGGCTTCATAGATGTGCTGGGCGCTGATCTGCCACAATGAGCATTGACAGCACCAACAGCACATTTAAAAGCAGCATTTGTTTCTTTTGATATCCTTTTCTTCGGTATATTTCCCCCTCCATCTGTCTGATCAGCCTAATCAATGAGGGGAAAAATACCTGAGCCAATTAAAATGTAAAATAACCTTTGGAAAGGACAGGTGGAGAAGCAGTTCATAAAATATTTTGCTGGGAAGGTCTCTCTTTTTTTGAATAAAGCAGAGGTTAAACCACTTTTTGAGATGTGGTTTTACTGATTTTCTTGGTGTGAGTTGGTGGTTTTGTATTTATTCACATGCTGGGGAATAATATCTCCATTTATCATCCATATGAAATCACTGTATCATGTATATATTCATGTCTCACACATACAAAAAAGGAAAAAACAAGTGTTTGGATGTAAATGGTTAAGGTAACAAAGAGGAAAGAGAAAAACCTGTGTCATTGATAATATAAGAGGGATATTAGAGGGATGTCTCACCCAGACCTCACTGAAGATGTAATGTTGTTAATTATGTTTTATTTTCACTCATGAGAGCCAAAAAACACAAGTTCCTCTGTGAAAGCAGAGAAAATGTGTCAATTCTTCCTTACCATTCTTGATATCCAAAGCAAGGATTCTGAATTTGGGCACAGACTTGCTGAAAGGTTATAATAAAACAAACTGCAATGCCAACAAAAGTGTTGGCATTAAACCAGTTGTTGTCAGGTTTATAATCTACCAGCACAATGGTTAAATGACAGACATCTCACACATATTTTAGAAAGGACTGAAGTCAGATATTTCCAAGCAAAACTGTTTAATAAAACCACCGTTTATTTATTTATTTTATTTATTTTATTTATTTATTTTCCATTTTAAATGTTTTGTCTGAATGACTTTGGGTTAGACAAGCTTTCAGTAAAGCTCAGAATTCTTTGAGTGAAATCCCATCTCTTCTGGAGAGAGCTGGGATGTTATTCATGGTACCTTGTCTAGGGCCAGTCTGCACAGCTGGACTTACCAATGTTGATGCTTTTTCACCCTGAACAGGGACCTTCAGCCCCTAAAAGTCACCTCTAGCACAACTAAGACCCTCCCAAGTTTTCCAGGCTTCCTCCCCACTGCAGATTTGGCACTCATTTTTCTGGGAGGTTTTTGGGATGGGTGCTCAGGCCGTGCTGTCCTAAGCCTTGGCCATCACTCCAAGTTTATCACACTGATAAAGCCAAATTTCTGTGTAAGTGGAAGTCTGCCTTTTGGCCTTTTTTGGTCACTAGAGGTTATTTATACAGCAGAGATTAGAGCTCTATAAACACAGAGATGGACGTGCCCAGTTTAGATCTTCACGAACAGACAACTCATCTCTGTCAGCTCCCAGCTGGAAAAGAATCTTTGCCACACAAGGAATCTAAGCCTTGCTTTTTTATAATTATTACTTTAATTAGAGTGCTGGAGAGAAAATTACCTCAGTTTACAAAAAAACTGATGGAGGGCCTCCTAATATTCCTTTCCCAACAGACCATCAGCAGGTGATTTGGCCCATTTTCAGGTGCAGATCCCACGTGGATTAATCCGAATGTGGCATGAACAGAGGAGAGATGTATATTTGTCTCTATCAACATGATAACGTCGTGGGTTTGGGCTTGATTGTGGTTTATCATTTCTACTGGCTCAGCACCAGTTCTGCAACATCATCAGCAGCTATTTAGGGGCCACAACAAACGTCACTGTCCTTGAGTTACACCTGCAGCGTGTCCAGCTCGTGAAGAGCAGCCTGAGCTGTCACTGCCAAGTGCCAGCCTGGCCACAGAATCCTCTTGTCCTTCCTTCCCTTCCAGTTGAGGAGGGAGAAATTTAACAAGGGGGAAGATAAACCTCCAAAAAAAAAACCCCAAAAAACACAAGGGGGAAAAATAGTTAAAATCCAAAGGGAGGAATTAAAAAAATAAACAAGGAAGGGATGGAAAAACAAACAAACAAACAAACACAACAAACCACAAGTAAAAAAATAAAGGGTCAAAAAAATAGTTTAAAATGTCCGAGGGAGGGAATTAAGAAAATGAACAAACAAGGGGAGGAATAAAAAAACCTGAATTAAAAAACACAAAGGGGACAGTGGGAAAAAAACCCAAGCACTGAGGGGAGAACAAAAAATAAGGAGAAGAAAAAACTAAAAAAAGGAGAAGAAAAGACCCCACTACAAGCCTTTCTGCCCCAGAATGAACAGTTGAAGGGGTTAGTACCATACCCAGAGGTACTGAGCATCCCAGTGTCTCTGTTCCAGTAACTCCAGCCAAAAATCCTCCCACCGAACTGCCAAATAAGTTTAGGAATTTGACTGTGATTCAGAATATGGGGTGAGGAATGAGACAGGCAGGTTTGGCTCGGGCTGGGGGCTGTATGGAAAGTGCTGGTGCCAGCTGACCACTCTCTCCCTGCCTTCTCTCTTCCAGCCCATGGAATTAGGGGCATTTGCCAAAAACTCCCTGCCCTTGGCCAGCCGGGGAGTCCAAACCCCAGCACCTGTGTAAGGGATCTGTGCAGCTGGAAACGTTCCCCACGGCTGCTCCAGCTGGAGCACGTGCCACAAACGTGTTGATTTACTCTGGGTGGGTTGGGAGCAAGAATCCATTAGGGAAAAAATAAAGCTTCCTGGCTGAATTACAAGTATTTCTCTCTTTCTCCTCGCTCTGTTTTTGTTTAGCCTTGTCTGTACTTGGGTCCTAGGTGGGAGTTCCATTGCTAAGTGATTGCTGTCGGATGAGGGGGGAAGAAACTTAATTTAAAAAAGAAAATCTTTAGCAAAACAGACAATTTTAGCCATTTGCATAGAGGAACTTTGGGATCTACAACAGGAATCTGGCAACTGTGTGCACAGTTATTAACAACCTTGATAATAAGACAGATATTTAACCACCTCCACTCTGTTCTGTGAGCTGGGGGGACCAAACAGTGCATCTCTCTCAGGGAATATGCATCCATGCACACATATATCCACAGAAATATAGGGTCCCAACCTGCCCAGCCACCTGAAGATGAAAACTTAGGTGTTCCACTTTGAAAACACAAGCCCGGTATCTTTTTGGTCTTTACCGAACATTAAAACTCCCACAAGACTTTCTGACATAAAACAGCGCCTCAGCCAAGTTAGTCATTCACAGTTAAAAGTTCAAAAGCTTTTCCTCGGATTTCAGTCGTTTCAGGAGCAAATTTGACGAACAAACATAATTAGGCATCTTGAAATGCTTGGTAAGACAAGATAATTCCTTCCTGACCCCTGCAGAAATCTTGGAGCCCGAGCACTGATTATCCTGTTTTAGCAGGGAAACCTTCCAGTGCTTTGTTGATAAAACCAGATTAGTTGCACTCATAAAAACTTTAACTCATAGACTTAATGACTGCAAAGCACTGATGTGAATCTACAATTAGTGCAGGTGTGAAGTTTTGAGAGGCTTTTAATTGGACTGCAGGTGAGATTAAATAAGGCTTCGAGGCAAGAAGTGCTGGGCTGGGGAGGGAGGGTTTTAGTCACATAATGATTTCAGTTAGTCTGGGGAGAATTAGGAGGGAAAATGAAGCTTAATTCCAGCACGAAAATCAACAAGTAAAGAGTTTTCTTCCCCTCAGTTGAGGACACTTGCAGAGGCTGGGTGTGGGTTTGTCTTCTGGGATTTATTGAATCTGGTCATTGCATATGTATCACTTTTTAAAAATACTGTAAAAATACTGTAATCCATATATTTGCCTGGAAAAAACGGCACCTTCTGATGTTTTCACTGCTTCAAGACATCCCCTGGCTGCAGGAGTTAATGTTTAGAACCACCTACTAATAGTGTGGAGGGCCCCTTCAGTTTGGGAGTGCTGGGGTTAATTTCTTTAATTCATGAAGTATTTAGAAGTCCTCAGTTAGACTGAGTAGTGGTAAAAGTGTGGAGGCAGAAAGGAGTTATCACCACACCTCTCAATCTTCCAAATTAAATTCCCTCTTGCAGCATTTCTAATCACTCCAGGGCACCTCATCATCCTCTCTCTCTATTAGAGCCTGTGCAGCACCACTTCTTACAAAATACATACATTTTTACTGAGTTTTGAGCCTGGGCTTATTTCATCATCTCATATGTGAGACAATTAGGGTATCAACCCAGAAAAAGTAGCAAAAGATGTGACTG